AGATAGATAGATAGATAGATAGATAGATAGATAGATAGATAGATAGATAGATAGATAGATAGATAGATAGATAGATAGATAGATAGATAGATAGATAGATAGATAGATAGATGTGTATATATATAATTTTTAAAAGCCAGTTAAAAACTTGGTTATTCAAGAAGGCCTTCCCTCCAGTCAATTAAGTCTTTTTCTCTGTTTCTCTTTCTTTTTTTTTTTGGCTATTCCATCTTGGTAATCCTCTCTTTAAATTAATTGTTTTAAATTGAAATATGTAATTTTATGATTTTATATATTTTTATATTGTTTTGTTTTATTTTGTAAGCCGCCCCGAGTAGACATGGTCTAGAGGGGCGGGGTAAAAATCAAATAAATAAATAAATAAATAAATAAATAAAATATACATAGTTAGAAAGGTGGAATGTGGAATGAGAGTGAAACTGCATACATGTTATTTTCTGCTTCTGATTTCACTCTGATTCCAGTATGTATGCTGTCAATATATACCTGAAGCTCTAATATCATACTTTAGCATCAGATAAAGTGGATGGTGGTCTATGGCCACTCATGCTAAAATGTACCCCGTTAGTCTCAAACTCTGCAATACCCATTGCCACTGTACTAGAACAGATCTGCATGGCCACATTGCCCCTACCTTTGAAACAAAACAGGATATGGTTTTCTAGATTTGTCTTTGTTCTCTGGATCTCCTATGATGGAGATAGCACAGAATAATTCTCTCCAGTTAGTTTCAATGGAAGGGAAAATTGCAGAGTCTTGAATTTCTAGTAAAATCCCTTTTCTACACAGTAGAAGTACAGAGATTTACAGAGTAGAATTAGCTTCAAGTTCCCCACATAGCCCACCCCTTTCTTATTAACCATCACAATTCAATGACTTACTCTGGGACATTGGTAGGAGAAAGAATAAAAATATTTCAGTACTTACAGTTGTGAATAGATCAACAACAGATTAACAAGCAACTCTGCCTCCAACAAACCAAAGAGATGGGGCTCTCTTTGAATTCAGAGGCTGGAAAGAATGATTGGTTACGGCTGGATAATTTGACAATCACTCCAGCCGAGAAAAGTCCCTTCCAGTCAAACAAACTACAGATAGTTGTTGTGGGTTTTTCGGGCTCTTTGGCTGTGTTCTGAAGGTTGTTCTTCCTAACGTTTCGCCAGTCTCTGTGGCCGGCATCTTCAGAGGACAGGAAGAACAACCTTCAGAACACGGCCAAAGAGCCTGGAAAAACCCACAACAACCATTAGACCCCGGCCGTGAAAGCCTTCGCAAACTACAGATAGTGTGTGATGTTGTAGAAATGACCCTGTTGATACTCCTGGATCTCTCAGCAGCTTTCAACACCATCGACCATGGTGTCCTTCTGGATAGGTTGGCTGGGTTGGGAGTTGGAGGTACCGCTTTATGGTGGTTCTGCTCCTTCCTGACTATGGTCAGTCAGTGGGGAGCCATTTTGAGCAGCCGGTGGCCATTTTGGAAACCCGACAATCACCTGTTTTGATCATCGTAAAGCAAAAAATCGGTTCCCGAAGCAGGGAGCCAATCATCGCTAAGTGAAAAAACCCCATTAAAACATTGTTTTGCAATCGCTTTTGCGATTGCAAAAACTTCGTCGTAATGCAATTTCGTCGTAAAACAGAGCGCTTGTCTTGCGAGGCACCACTGTATATTTTATCTCCCTATTTGCTCAATCTGATGCTGGGGTGACGCTAAACAACAAACAACAACAACAAAGTGTGGCAGTATCTTCCCAGCTTTTTCTGTTCTTCCTCCAGCTGTGCCCAGTTTCGCACAGAGATTTTTATTTTCCCAACTTCCCAGAACCTTCTCTCAATGGGAAAAGAATTATGTAGGTTTAAACACATTGCTAAATTTGGTCATTTCCACTGAGAGTCAGGGAGCTGCTGAAGAATATATGGCACAGAAGAGGAGCGCAATGGGACAGGCTAACCAAAGGAGCTTGTAACTTCTCAGATAACCACCAGACGGCCACATAAGCTCATGTGTCAAGACAGACTAGAGTTTATCAACAACTCTGACCCAACTTCAACAAATGAGGAAATATGACAAGATGTGTTTAGGGAACTGCACGGCACTGTCTTGTATCAACTTGATAAGACCATCTAAACATGTCTCCATCAAGTCACCGGGGGGAAAGGAGGGGTTGAAAAATTCAAACACAGGAGGACACAAAATAGAAATATTTAATCACTCAGGTTGGTGGCTTTGTGGGCTTAGGAAATGCAATTTTGATTTTCTGGGGGGGGGGAAGGACATACCTTCTGATAGGCTTCAACACTTTAACATCTGCAACACAGTTCTCTTCATGCTGGGCATAAACTAGCAGTACAGCTTAGAAGGTTTAGAATTTTGCTCGGATTGCGCCTGATCAGAACTAGGGCTTTGTGCCAGATTTGGGCAAATCCTAAATTTAGAACAGAATCATCCTGATTCAGACTGATTTAAGCAGAACAGCCAGATTTGGTTCTCGGGAAAACAGAAGCAAATCCAGAAACCACTTTCTGTCCAGAACACAAATTAAATTGGTTTGGATGCAAACCACTTCTGCTTTCAAAAAGAGAAAGAAAGCAATATTTGAAAGAACCCTGAAATCAGCTGTCTGAATTTTGGCCAGTTTAACTCTGCTTCTTCAAGTGCCAAATTTTATATCTGCCAGTGCACAGCAGAAGTGCAGAGAGTTATAAAGGAGAATAGCCACCAGGTTCCTCAAGTCCACCCCTTTTTCTCATCAGCTGGCACTTACAGTCTCAATAACTTACGTCGGGACATTAAAGGTAGAAAGAACGAAAGGTTTCACTACTTACAATTGAATAGCTCAAACAGCAAACTAATAGGACTGCTTTTGACAACATACCTCAGCAGACACAAAAGAGGGGGAAATGGCTGAGCAGAGAGACAGGTCTCTGAATTCAGAGGCAGGAGGGAACTACAGTGGTGCCTCACTAGACGATGATAATCCGTTCCACTGAAATCGCTGTTTAGCGAAATCATTGTCTAGCAAAAAGCATTTCCGCATTGGAATGCACTGAAACCTGTTTAATGCATTCCAATGGGGAAGAACCGTCGTTGTCTAGTGAAGATCGGCCATAGGAAAGCCGCTTTGCGAACTGCTGATCAGCTGTCTTGCGAAGCTTAGATCCCGAAAACACCTGTTTTGCGAGCGTGGAGGGAGCTGTCAAAATCGTCGTCTAGCGAAAATCAGTTTGCGAAGCAGGGACCTAACATTGTCCAGCGAAATTCCCCCATAGCAACCACTGTTTTGCGAATCACTATAGCAATTGCAAAAAGTCAATGTCTAGAGAAAAAACTGTCATGCAGGGTAACTGTCTAGCGAGGCACCACTGTAATGGTCTTTCCTCTACCTGCTGCTATCTACCTTCTCTGCAAGTGCCTTATAAGCAACGCAGTGCTTGGCTGTTAAAACATCTGGTTTCCACACACAGTATGTTGCAGCACTGTGGTTTTTCAAAATTAAGGGTGGGACTGTGAGCAGCAGCTTTTTCATGCAATCACGTCGCTTGCACTGTTCTTGGATTTTTTTTTTTAAAAAAAATGTTTTTGAAGAGGCAGCTGTTCGAGATAGCCCTAGTCTGGAATCAGCTTGTGGTGCGGCGCGGAACTCATTTTGAATCTGCACACGGTAAGCATGGATCAGTGCAAGGCAGATGGCAAAGACCCCAGAAGAGAATTTTTTTTGATTCCTCTGCAGCTTGAAATCTTGAGCGTGGCTGCAATACAGAAATTATTGGGTTCTCTCTTTTTTTAACGATTTGCCATTGTGGTCTCTGATTAAATAGGCTTTGCAGGTTTGGGCCAGGCTTCGGAAACCTGCAGAACCTGTTTGTAATGACAGGGGGAGGGAGGGGAAATTTTGTGCTAATGAGCAACCAAGGCTTTCTTGGGCTCTGCCATTTGAAGTCTTTCAATATTGTGCGCAGTTTGAGTGGGTTTGATGGTCACGGAAAGGAATCAACCTACCTGAGTTCCACATCTGCTTTAAATGAGGAATGGAAGACAGGGATTTTTTTAAAAAAAAAAATCAAGGCCTTTTTCTAAAACTTCAGAAAGGAAAAGCATCTGTCGTATTAGAGGCAGGGGTTGGAGAAACTTTTGACAAGTTCACAGCAACACAGGGGATGAGTTTGAAGTCTTTCAATATTGTGCGCAGTTTGAGTGGGTTTGATGGTCACGGAAGGAATCAATCTACCTGAGTTCCACATCTGCTTTAAATGAGGAATGGAAGGCCTTTTTCTAAAACTTCAAAAAGGAAAAGCACCTGTTGTATTAGAGGCAGGGGTTGGAGAAACTTGTGACAAGTTCACAGCAACACAGGGGATGAGATAATTGCCTGAGAGCAGTGTTTGCCTGTGGATGACACAGACAGATGTTTTACTATGGAAGGGAAACATTTTTTCCATCCCTCAACTATGAGAGATTATGGGAGTTGTAGTTCAGCAACATTAAGAAGGTTATGCAGCCCTTATCCTTGTTTTAATGTATCGGGGTGGTGTTTTTTGTTTTTTTTTCACATCAGTGGTTCCCAACCTTGGGTCTTCAGGTCTTCAGATGTTCTTGGACTAAAACTCCCAGAAGTCTTCACCACAAGCTTTCCTGATGGGGCTTCTTGGGAGCTGCAGTCCAAGAACACTTGGGTTACCCAAGGTTGCCAGCCCCTGCTTTACATGATCTTCAGAAGGCATGGATTGCCAAAGACAAAGTGAAAGATGTTTTGCTGATGGGCTTCCCAGTGTCTGTGTGACAGAAGGCATGTACAGTGGTGCCTCGCTAGACAGTTACCCCGCATGACAGTTTTTTCGCTAGACATTGACTTTTCGCGATTGCTATAGCGATTCGCAAAACAGTGATTCCTATGGGGGAATTTCGCTGGACAATGTTTGGTCCCTGCTTCGCAAGCCAATTTTCGCTAGACAATGAATTTGAAAGCTCCCTCCATGCTTGCAAAATGGATGTTTTCAGGAACTAAGCTTCGCAAGACAGCGCTTTAAACAGCTGATCGGCTGTTTGCAAAGCGGCTTTCCTATGGCCGATCTTCACTAGACAACGACGATTCTTCCCCATTGGAATGCATTAAACAGGTTTCAATGCATTCCAGTGGGGAAATGCTTTTCGCTAGACGATGATTTCGCTAAACAGCGATTTCAGTGGAACGGATTATCATCATCTAGCGAGGCACCACTGAATTAAGTTTTCATTTTTCTCTCTCTTTCCATTTTTGCTCTCTCTCTCTCTCTCTCTCTCTCTGTTTCTCTCAACCTATCTGCCACCTACATGCACAAAATATTTTTTCCTACCACGAGCACAGCTTGCTGCCACTTAAGCGTCTATTTCAAACCGGGTACCCTCTGTTTGCCCAAGAGAAGGAAGCTACCCTCACTGCTACAAGAAGGGGAAGTTGTGGCTTCTTCTCTCTTAGCTCATTGTTCCTGATGGTTTCTCAACCACCCTTTCAGGATGTTTGTGCTTGAAGCTTACAGAGAAGGAGGCACTGTGGAGGAATCATCGGGCAATCAAGTTGAGCATGACATACTTAAAGGGCGACATCGCTATACGTTTTTAAAGAGGTTGACATGGAAAGCTTATCAGTCAGTCTGGAAGTGTCAAAGCTGCACAGTTCCTACAAGGAGCAAATCAGCACTGTATCCGCCCAATGATCATGGTCTGGGTGGGTCTCATACCCCCAAATTTAAGAGTGGCCGCCAACTCTAGTCATGAGCTGTCTATGCTAGAAAAAGATATATGAAGTCATCTCTCAGAGTTTGTGGTCCCCAGTGAGACAGACATGAAGATTTGCTATTTCCTCTGCCATGAATTTAATGCATTCTCCAGGACGTTTCGTATTGCAAAAAAAACTTAAACCAAAATGCAGTTTCCCATAGGAATGCACTGAAAATCAATTAATCCGTTCCGGAGGTCAGAGCACAATGCATCCTGGAGAAACTTGCTTTGTGTTGAAAAAAAAATCTAAATAAATAAATAAATAAATCATAAACCGAGGCATTATTTTCAATGGATTTTCTTTCGTAAACTGAAAATTACGTTAACTGAGGCATTCGTAAACCAAGGTACGCCTGTACATACATACATGTTTGTGTGCGTGTGCGTGCATGTATGCACTTGTGCATCTGTGCTTAAAACTATTCCCTTTAATCTCTTTTCTCTTTGTGGAGGAAAGCGTCCCACCTGAGCAAACACAGAAGAGTGAGCAGACTGAACAAAAAGATATTAAAAAACCTATTCTGTGCTTCATAATTGTTAAAGTCCACATAACAAGCCCATACATACATGTTTGTGTGCGTGTGCGTGCATGTATGCACTTGTGCATCTGTGCTTAAAACTATTCCCTTTAATCTCTTTTCTCTTTGTGGAGGAAAGCGTCCCACCTGAGCAAACACAGAAGAGTGAGCAGACTGAACAAAAAGATATTAAAAAACCTATTCTGTGCTTCATAATTGTTAAAGTCCACATAACAAGCCAACAGCTATCACAGTTTGGCTTGACAGTTTACACAATTTGCAAAAAATCTGTAATTTCTGCAAAATTTGCAAAATTTGTGTAATTTCTGCAAAAAGTGTACAATTCTGAAAACTCTCATTGCAGCCAAAAAAGACTGTCTCACCTCCTTACAGGTGAGATGAAAAAAAACCCCTGCAGTTTCTCATTCTCACTACCAGGAAGGAAGGAAGGAAGGAAGGAAGGAAGGAAGAAAGCAAGATTTGCTATTCCTAAAGGTGCCTCTTCGCATTTTTGGCACAAGGATTAAAGAAGGGATTTATTGCCAAATCTAGAAGCAGGCTTTATAAGGAAAAGAGATAAGGTATGGGAAAATATAAAATAGTTTTCTAACTTTTCCCAGGGCCAATGATGTAGTGGAACAAGAGTTCATAGGATATAAACACTAGTGTATTTTGGTTTGCAGGAAAAACCAAACAACAGGGTTTCAGTGGTTGTTTCATTACCATGCTGGCTGGTACAGGTCCACAGTGTCCACTGTTAGATGTCATAAGTAGACCCAGCAACAAAATGTTGTAGCATGGAAGACTCCAGTCCACAGTCCCAGCCAGCCAGCCAGTCACACCTTCCTTGATGTCTGGAAGGCTCTATTCAGTTCCTCCTCCTCTTCATTCAGTTTTCCAGATGCCCCTGATAGGATGTTACCCTAAGGGGCCACTGAAAAAAGTTATGGACCCTCTGAGTGAACTCACAATGAAATCCTCTCCCACCCTTCTCCTGTCAAATATTGTTTGAATCCAGGTTGTTCCATTCTTCGGGACCACCAGCAAATATCATGCTCAATGCTGCGGAAGTATATTTGTTATCATGGTAGAAACACTGAAAAGTTGGAGAGAAAAGGGGGGAAACCTAGGAATGCAGCAAAATGTATTCCTCTGTCTGTTTGTGAAAACAGATTTTTGAAAACTGATCAGAGTTACGTTTCTTCGCATAGTAAGAGAACACGAAAGATGAATCAGGGTCGTGATTGGAAAATAGAAACGGCATCCCCAAATTTCATTCACATAGGCATCAAGAAAGAAGGAAAGTTCAAAGAAGGGGAAAAGGAACGGTCTGCTGGGATGATGGTGGATGCAGCACGACTAAAAAGGAGGGCTATCCCTACTGTCCATAACATCTGTATCGTTAGTTCTCAATCTTGGAAAGTTCTTGGACTACAGTTCCCAGAAGCCTTCACCACTAGATGTGCTGGCCAGGATTTCTGGGAGCAGTGGTCCAAGAACATCTGCAAACCCAAGTTTGAGAACCACTAGTTTCCATTCTTCTAACCAGTAATCTCTCCACAGAGAATTGCAGAAACTAGGGCTTTCCCCCAAATCCTCAGAAACCTCAAACTTGTCTCAGAAGCCACAAAACTGCAGGGGTTTTTTTTCACCTCACCTGCAAGGAGGTGAGACAGTCTCTTTTGGCTGTAATGAGAGTTTTCAGAATTGTATACTTTTTGCAGAAATTACACAAATTTTGCAAATTTTGCAGAAATTACAGATTTTTTGCAAATTGTGTAAACTGTCAAGCCAAACTGTGATAGCTGTTGGCTTGTTATGTGGACTTAAAAAACACTCTCACTTTCTCTTTCTCTTTTACTTATTACAGAATGCGGTAGAAAAACACAGACTAAATTTGTCTTGGTTCTTCTTTACAGACATGATGAATTGCTCTTGTGGCCCCGTCAATGCTACCACTGTGAACGATGCTATGCGCCGCATCGCAATAGTAACGAATGTGATCATCCTGGTGCTGGGTACATCTGGCAATGGGTTGGTGATATGGGTCATAGCCATGCGGGGGAAGCACAAAACCTTGACCTCCATCTGCTACTTGAATCTGGCAGTGGCAGATTTCTTCTTTTCTCTCGGCCGGATCCCGGCCCTGGTGCAGGAGCTCATGCACTGCTGTTGGCCCTTCGGACTTGCCCTGTGCAAGCTTCATGCCTTTGCTCGCTACCTCGTGGTCTTTGCTGGTGTCTTCATCCTCACGGTCATCAGCGTATACCGGTGCTTGTTGATAGCAAGGCCTGTTTGGGCTCGAAACCACCAAGGACCTTGCTATCAAAAACTGATGTGCATCGGGGCATGGATTCTCGCCTTTGCCTTCAGTGTCCCCTATCTGGTGGTCCGTGATATTGAAGTCAAGAATGGAGCGACCTACTGCGTCTATCGGAAAGATCTCAAGAAGTCCACGGAACTGCCCTTGAGGCTGAGTAGATTCTTTGCGGGGTTCCTTGTCCCCTTCATCATCATCTTCTCCTCCTATTTGGTTCTGATTTTCAAGCTTCGCGGACGGAGTTGGAAACATTCCCATCGAACCTTCTCTCTGGTGGCCACCATCGTCGCCCTGTTCTTTATCTGTTGGCTGCCCCATCACATCTTTGTATTTGTCAGCACCATATCAAGTGAAAAGGATGGATGGGGGGTTGGCCTCAAGCTCTCAAACGCCCTGGCGTATCTCCACAGCTGTGTCAACCCTGTGCTGTATTGCTTTGTGGGCTACGTACGGGTTAGAAGTCTCCATCATCAAGCTTCCTTCTTGGGATTCTTCCGCAAGGCACTGACTGAAGAGGATGACAGCTCTCTTGCGGCAGAAACGTCACGAAGCCTTAATCAGAAGACCTAAGGACCTTCTGTGTTCTGGTTCCACGGGGAAGGCTTCTGGCTACTTCCCACACTCTCAGAAAATATGGAAGTTGCAGCACGACATTTGCCAGTCAAGACACATGGCTTCAATGTTGGACTTCTAACCTCAATTATCCCCTGTATTGGAACTCCTGGTTCTGAGGAATTCTCAGAAAAAAGGGAGCGCCATGGGCTCCCTTCCTCCATTGGGCCAGTGTCCTCTCGCTCTGTTTCTCAACTCCTATTAATTATTGTCTTAAAGAAGGCAGATAATAAGAAGATGGGGGCAACTGATACACTCTCTTCTAGCTGTTCACCCCTCTCAGTAGCAAAAAGAGGAAATGATGGAGCAAAAAGGTACAGGTGGCCAACAGTGGCCATTTAGATGTCTGTACAGGTGTCTGTCTGTCAAGTAGAACTCTCAGAACGGAGAATTATGGGATCTGTAATCCAAGAAATTTTAAAAAATCTTATCCCTAGCATACACCTTTTTAAAGCCCAACTAGAGAGGGATGGCTGCGTAGAATAACTTATATCCCACATGTTTGTGCTTTGAGAGAGAGATAGAGAGACACACACAGTTTGTGGTTCACTCCAGGCTTCTGGAAGGTGGGGAATTTTTAATTTAGTGTCCACTGAGGTTGGATTATGGAAATCCCACCTCCCATGCTTTAGTCTGGAATATCTTTTCTTTTCCTGTGAAGTCTGCCCTGTTGGTGGTGTTGAACTGAGTTTCTGAAATTCATCTCTTCCTCCCCCTTTACTCCTGGAATCAAATTAAGGGGAAGCGTATTTCTGATCATGTACTGAATATCCGTCTTTATAGGGGAGACAGAAGAACAGTTTTCAAACAAATCCATAATTTCTCTACAGGGAAGGGACACAGAAACCGTGAAGTCAGCATTAATTTTGCAGAGACCCATATATCTTGTCTCTGGCTTTGGCCTTGCCTGTCACTCGTTCCCTACTTTTAGCAGGTCAGTTACTGAGGTTAATTTGCACCAGGTTGTAGGGAAATTCACAGGTCGGTGTTATGGGTGTATGTGACTCACTGTGTTTACCCTCGGCCATCTGCAGATGGAGAGGTTCAAGTTACTGAGGCCCATTTTCTAAAGGTCACCTTCTTATCTTCTCATTCCAACCCTAAGAAACAATATACAGTCTAGACAACCTCTTTCTAATAAACATGCATATTATATTCTCAACCTGCCTCATTTCTTCTTTGGTTTTTTTTTTGTCTGTCTTAACAAGGACAATTATATGCACCTACCTCCCATCCAGGTGTCTTCTGATCCATTAAGTGGCTTGATCGTTGGGTCCAAGATATCTCAAAGATGGCATCTCCCTTCATAAGCCTGTCCAAGCCTTAGGATCATCAGAGGAGGCTTTCCTCTCAGTACCACCACCTTCACAGGTATATTAGTGAGGACATAGGAGAGGGCCTTCTCTGTGGTTGCTCCCAGATTTTGGAACTCCCTCCCACTGGAGGCCAGGTTGGCTGCCTCTTTTGCTATCCTTCCTCAAATGGATGAAAACCTTTCTCTTCAGGCTCTCTTAGACAGACAGAGATATTAAAATGATGTGGGTTGTATTTTTCTTGCTTTTAAAGCTGTTGTAGTACTGCTCTTACCAACCATTTTAACAGAATATGTGTATTTAATATTTTAAAAAAAACCTTTAGATAATTTCCTGTTTTGTTTTGTTTTTTTAACTTTTAATATTGTGTTTTTAATGATGTAAGCCACCTTGGGTCCTTTTTTAAAGGGGAAAGGTGAGGTTAAAGTTTTTTAAACAAACAAACAAATACTGCTCTGGTTCTGATGGTGCTTCGTCAGTGGCATAATGGTTCATATGATGGAAGCACCAAGATATTATTTGATCAACAGAGACAATAGTTTCACTTGTCATCTCCTTCCCAGGTATCAAAAGTCAGTGGTAGAAAACTCCAGGTCTACATAATCAAATCCCATTAACTCTTTTCCTGCATGTACTGTGTGTAAGATTAGATTAGGCATCCTTCAGTCTCGAGAGACTATGGTAACGTGCTCTGTATGGAGGACTTGGAACAACATCTAGAGCGGCTGAGAAGGCCAATTCAAGAGTGACCATCCCTTCCAAACTGAAGACAAATCCAATCTGTCCCCTGTCCAGATCCCTGGTTTGGCTGCTTTTGTGACTGCTTCTTTGCCTCGGCCTGCTGGACAAGGGTCTCTTCAAATTGGGAGAGGCCATGATGCACCGCCTGCCTCCAGGCTGAATGCTCAGATGTCAAGGTTTCCCATCTGTTGAGGTCCATTCCTAAGGCCTTCAGATCCCGCTAGCAGATATCCTTGGGTTGCAGCTGTGGTCTCCCTCTGGGGCGATTTCCCTGCACTAATTCTCCATACAGGAGATCCTTTGGAATCCGACCATCAGCCATTCTCACAACATGCCCAAGCCAACATAGACATCGCTGTTTTAGTAATGTATACATGCTAAAAAATTCCAGCTTGTTCTAGGACTACTCTATTTGGAACTTGGTCCTGCCAGGTGATACCAAACATGGAAGGTGTTCAGTTTCCTCTCCTGCCTTTCACAAAGCGTTCAGGACTCACTGGTGTGTGATCTCCAAGTGTACTGCATCCACGTTTATGTGGCATGATTAAATTACAGGTAAGACTGTAAATTGTCACTTGCCTTGTCCTCTCAGCCATCAGATGAGGAATCATTACAAAATTATTCTTTCTGCTTCAGAAAAGGTTGAGCACCAATTTTGGCGCTCCTGACCAGAGAAAATAAAGTTTGAGTGGCTTGTAAATTAAGCTCTGTATGTGAAATGATGTTGATGGACTTTGGTTGAGTGCATGGATTTTTCAAGCTTCAAAGCACATAGAGAGTGTCTGTATGGCCTGTTACAGGGCAGTACTGTTCTGTGCCTGATGTCTGTATGGGGTGTGTGTGTGTGTGTGTGTGTGTGTGTGTGTGTCCATGTGTAAGTTTTGCTTCTCACAAGAAAAATGGCACCAGTTTTGACCAGATAGTTTATGGAAGTCATGAAGACCTTGACTTCCATAAATTAGCCCACTTTGCCTTGTTTTTCTCTGGATGTGGGTTGGAAATGCATCTTCAGGCTGGGTTGTGAAGTCAAGATAGCCTCAAAGAGCAAAAAAAGAGAGATGAATTTAGTCAACATTTTTCACATCCCTATTTAAGTGCTGGGTAGCTCGGTGGTTTAGGCATCTGGCTGCAGAGCCAGAGATTGGCAGTTTAATTCCCCGCCGTGTCTCCTTGATGGGGTGCTTGATTATGGGATTCCCATTGTGGTGTAATGAATAGTTATGGACTAGAACTCTGAAGAATAGAGTTCAAATCCCTGCTCAGCCATAGAAACTGACTGGGGGAGTGGAACTGGTAAAGCCATTCCTTATGTACCTCACTTAAAAAGCAGAGACATCACCTTGCCAACAAAAGTCCGAATAGTCAAAGCTATGGTTTTTCCTGTCATGATGTATGGAAGTGAGTTAAACTGAGCCAGATTTCATTTGAATATCAGGAAACCCTTCCTTAACCGTTAAAGCAGTTACAACAATGATACCTATGACTGCGGGAGGTGCCGAGCTCTCCAACACTGGAGGAATTCAAAAGAAAGTTGGATAGCCATCTGTCAGCTATACTTCTACCTGGATTCCTGCACTGAGCAGGGGGTTGGACTTAATTGCCTTCTGGCCCCTTCCCACTCCATGATTCTGTCCTTTTATAATTCTATGATTTTATGATCCATGGTTGTGGATTACCAGAAGGGAAACAGGTGCATATAGGTGTGTTCTGTGCCATCATGTTGGAACCAACTTATAGCAACCTTAAAAGGGTTTTCAAGGTATGTGTGATTATTTAAGGAGTGGTTTGATCAGCTCCACTCCACCAGTGAGTTTCCATGGCCAAGTGGGGGATTCGAACCCTGTTTTGATGGCACAAAACACACACAATACATTTGCATGAAGAACTAGAAGCTAATTAAACCGAGCCAGACTTCATTTGAATATCAGGAAACACTTCCTTAACCGTTAGAGCAGTTACAACAATGATACCTATGACTGTGGGAGATGCCGAGCTCTCCAGCACTGGAGGAATTCTAAAGAAAGTTGGATGGCCATCTGTCAGCTATACTTCTACCTGGATTCCTGCACTGAGCAGGGGGTTGGACTTAATTGCCTTGTTGGCCCCTTCCCACTCCATGATTCTGTCCTTTTATAATTCTATGATTTTATGATCCATGGTTGTGGATTACCAGAAGGGAAACAGGTGCATATAGGTGTGTTCTGTGCCATCATGTTGGAACCAACTTATAGCAACCTTAAAAGGGTTTTCAAGGTATGTGTGATTATTTAAGGAGTGGTTTGATCAGCTCCACTCCACCAGTGAGTTTCCATGGCCAAGTGGGGGATTCGAACCCTGTTTACCACAGTCCTAGCCCATCACTTTATCCATTACACCACATATATAAGCAGTAGTTGCCATCTTTGGTCTTCTAGATGTTTTGGATTTCAGGTGCCAAAATCTCATACCATTAACCATGCCAGCTTGGAGTTCTACGTAGAAGCAAAAGACATCACTCGCATACCTGGTTGTGCAACCAGCGTGAAACGAAACTTGTGATCAGCGCTTCATTAATTTGCTTCAATGGCCTCCATGTTTTTGCTTATGGCTGAGTACAAATCAAGATTCTGGTCTCGGAGGCCCCCAAGTTGAAGACATTTGAGCTACAGACTTGATCGTTCAAGGTTCTGGAAGAACGTTGAAATATCAGATGTCTACGGCAAATGAGTGAAAGTAAAGAATGGGATCACAGATATAGCCCCACTCACATCCACTCATTCTGAATGATGATGTTGCTGTGTTTGTTTGCAGGTATAAGAAGTAAATATAAATCAGCTGTGGATGTTCAACAGCTGGGTTTCGTTGGTGTAGTTCCACTATTTCCAGCCACTTCATTATCTCTCAATACTACGGCAATCAGCTTCTATTCAGATACAGTGGTGCCTCGCAAGACGAACGCTTCGTTTTACGACGAAATCGCATAACAACAAAGTTTTTGCGATCGCAAAAGTGATCGCAAAACAATATTTCCTATGGGTTTTTTTTACTTTGCTATTATTGGTTCCCTACTTCGCTAACCAATCATCACAAAAATGACAATTTTTGCACAGCTGATCGGCGGTTTCAAAAT